TGTTGATCGACTCACCAAGTCAGCGCACTTTATCCCTATCCAGATTAATTATTCTCTAGACAAACTGGCTAAGTTGTACATTTCGGAGATTGTTAAACTTCATGGTGTACCGTTGTCTATCATATATAATCGAGATTCGAGGTTCACTTCCAGGTTCTGGAAAGCTTTGCACGAGGCTCTGGGTACTCGTTTAAATTTCAGTACATCTTTTCATCCTCAGACTGATGGACAGTATGAGAGAGTAATTCAGGTGTTAGAGGATATGTTACGGGGTTGTGTGATTGATTTCCATGGTAGCTGGGAAGATTTCTTGCCATTAGCTGAGTTTGCTTACAATAATAGTTACCAGGCAAGTATTCGCATGGCACCGTACGAGGCTCTGTATGGACGTAGATGTCGTACTCCTATATGTTGGACAGAGTTACATGATAGAAAAACTTTGGGTCCAGACTTGGTTCGAGAGACTGAAGATACTGTCAGATTGATCCGTGATCACTTAAAAGAGGTATTCGATAGGCAGAAATCATACGCAGATAAGCGAAGTAAGGATATCGAGTTTGAGGTTGGAGATCAGGTTTTTCTCAAGGTATCTCCATGGAAGAAGGTATTGAGATTTGGACGTAATGGTAAACTGAGTCCGCGATTTATTGGGTCGTATCGTATTCTGAAGAAAGTTGGACCTGTTGCTTATCAGCTTGAGTTGCATCCCCAGCTTAGTTGTATTCATGATGTTTTTCATGTGTCTATGTTGAGGCGATACCGTCCAGATCTAGATCACATCATTCAAGTTGATGAGGTAGAGCTGAGACCTGATTTGTCATATGAGGATGAGCCTGTTCATGTTTTAGAGAGGGATGAGCGAGTTCTCCAGAATAGGCGTATTTCAATGGTCAAAGTTCAGTGGAGTAATCGTGGTCCCTCAGAAGCTACTTGGGAGACATTGAAGTTAATGGAGGCTCAATTTCCTCATTTATTTGCATAAGGTAAATTTCGAGGATGAAATTTCTTGTAGAGGGGGAGAATTGTAACAGCCCGAAAATTTTTAAAAAATAATAATAATAATTAATTGAATTGTGAGTAGTTAATTAAGTAAATTGGTGAAATTTAGAGCCTAAATTAGAAGTTTTTAAAAACTTGTAGCTTGTTTTAGAGTTCAAGGAAATTCAGGGACCAAGCCCTGAATTTACCCTAAAATGGAAGGTAAGTTTGGTGTTATATACGTGAATTGGTTTCTGAAAATCAGAAACCAATTCCTCCCAAATTCCCTTCCCCAACACCATCTTCCAACCACGATCCCGACGCCGTCCAAATTCTAATCGTTGTTTTGAAACCACCATCGTGTTCATCATCGAGCGAGGAACAAACCCCTAAAATTAATTGAAGCGAAACGCTGCCAAACGCCGGGAATTTCCAGTCAAAGTCTCGACGTTTTTTAGCATAATCGCCGAGAAAATCTTAAATTCACCGTCGATCGTTGATCCATTTACGACACCTCCCGCACCATCGTGTTCCTTGTGTTGTTCAGAGTCCGCCGGTGTCATCCTTGGCCTCCGTCAACGGCGGCGCGTGGGGAGGTGAGACGGTCAAAGTTTCTGATTTGTTGAAATCGAGCTCTCCGTCGTTCAAAAATTTGAACCGATTTTTGTAAGTATCTCGAAATCGCTCAAAATAATTTTTAGAAAATTTTCCGTGAATTTTACGCTACCGAAAGACGTCGCACGCGCCCCCACGCGCCGCCACTAAGCGTAGGGAAGGTCAAAATGATCATTTTGATCGGTTTTGAACCGATTACAACCCGACTTGACCTGTTGACCAGACCCGACCCGTTGACCGTTGATCGGGTGCTATTTTAGTAATTAATTCGAAATGGGTGCTATTTTAGTAATTAATTCGAAATGGGTGATATTTTAGTAATTAATTCGAAATAAGTGCTATTTTAGTAATGAATTTGAAATGGGTGCTATTTTAGTAATTATTTTAAAAAGGGTGCTATTTCTGTAAAATGGTTGAAAGTTTGTTGACCTCATTTGACCAAAACTTTGACCGACTATTAAACGACCATTAATCTTTTTCGAATATACCTATCTTGACAATTTTAGACGTCCCGAATCCGGTTTTGGGGTCCGTTTTGCCAAATTCGAACCTGAAAGTCTCCAAATTGTCAGTCAAACCCATTGACTTTGATTTTGACCAAGAATTCAAAATTTCATAAGGTCATACTTTATATTTTTTGACGTCCTGAATTTGATTCTGAAGTATGTTTTGCCAAATTCTGACCCAAAATCTCCGAATTAAGCATGTGAACCCAAATAGGCTTAGTATTTTAGTATTTTGATTATTTATTTGAGATATGGTTAAGGAATTGATTAAGTAAGATATTTTATGAAGGTACTCGTGTTTCACCTGAGCGAGGATCAGTCAGGTCCGGTGTTGTCCGTTCATCAGATCAGTCCGAACCGCATAATACAAGAATTACTCGTAGGTTTCCGTATATGATTTAAATAAAGATTAAGATTATTTATATTAGGATTCTATTATGGATTTTTCTGATTCGTAGGATCTAGCACTGCAGCAGAGCGTGATCGACAAACCCAGTAATAGGCTTCCCTATCTGATTTCTCAGACTGTTACAGGTGTGTTTACTGACGGTGTTATCTTACTGTTTTAAACTATCATATTAATGGTTTCAAATTTATGATGATGTTGAATATTATTACAACATGATACCTGCTTTATGAATACTGGTTACCGACACCTGATTTACCGGATATTACTGATCTAATGTATGGTTTGTGCAATTTCTGCATATGATTTTTAAGCATGAACCATTTTCATGTTTTAATGGATTAATATTTATTTCACCTAAATACATACATGTTTATTTCTGTCACTGGGATATTATTGAGGGAAGTATTTCAGGCTCCTTTGTTGTGTGCTCAGGGTAAGTCCTTACTGGTGTGCAGGTGGGTGTATGGTTCTGGGGAACCTACACATTGTAGTTATTGGAGTGACTGGATGGGGAAGTTATTATTGTAGGCTCCTTTGCTGTGTGCTCAGGGTAAGTCCTTACTGGTGTGCAGGTGGGTGTATGTTTCGGGAAAATATATAAAAGTTAGAAACCGGAGTGATTGAATGAAAATAATGTTCATATTTTTAAAATATGTTTGATAACCGATTTTATTGGAATATTTTATTCGTATGTTTTTATACACTGTTTGGAGCACACTGGGCTTTTTAGCTCATTCTATAGTTTTTAACTTTTTCAGATAACAGCAGACTGTAAGCTAGCAGATTTGGCATCAGGGGAGATCAACTACTTATTTTGTACGAACGCATATCTCTATATGTTTTTCAGTTTGTGTTTGGTGACATGTATTTGCTATCGTTTTGAATATATTTGTATTATTTATATTTTGTTCTGTATTATATCTAATGTATTAAAAGCTGTTTAAAAAAAACTCTGAATGGGATATGTGGCCACTTAGATTTGGGTCTAACTTATAGACTGGGTCTGGGTCTGGAGGGTTACACTATCAATTCAACCTTAAAGGGGCACACAATTTACCTATAACTTCTTTGGTTAAAATGACATATTTTTATTTGGGTTAAGTTTTTTGTGAAGTTAGAAAGACAAGGTCTTACTTGGATGCAAAAACGACCATATTTATCACCCAAGTTTAGTAGTAGATCTACACAAGAAAGTTACAACATCAAATGAGATGTTGGTAATAGATTTTTCTTGTACCCATGAGTGTGTGTTGGATATACCACAACCTCTTGAAGGGATTTAAATTAACCATTTTGGAGTAAATCTATGAAAAAGAATGTGTGATTGTGGCTTTTTTCAAGCTCTAAAGTATCCATACTTCCATGTCATAATAGCTTGTTCACATTCCCATTTGGACAACAAAAGTTATGTTGATCTCGTCTATAAGCTTTCGCAAGTATTCAAGATATATGAATTCGAGTTCCCCATAGATAATGAAAAAGACCCAAATAAGATCAAACTTGACTTACAACTATACCAAATCTGATTTTATTAAGGGAATCAGTTCGTCTAAAATTCACTCGAATTCATTGTGATATGAATATTCGAGAGTAGTCAAAAGAACCTAAAATATGTGGGCATTGTAGAAACCCATGCCACAATAGAAAAATGTCCATCTCTCTAATTTATACCATAATTATATAATTTTATTTTCTGATATTGTATTTTATCGTATTGTATTTTATGTTATTTTAATTTAATGTATTGCATTTTATGTTATTTTAATTTTCATTATTTTCTTTGATCTTATATTTTATGTAATTTTATTTTGCATTTTACCATATAAATATTAATGAATTTATGTATTTTTTTATTTGGTTTTTTTCTTTTAACATTTTATATTCACAGTCTCTTAAAGATATATATTATTGTTATATTTTGAAATATATTAACTTTCTCATTTAGCGTAAAAGAATTAAATGATATAAACTGGAGACTAAAATATAAATAATTAAATATATCAAGTCTTATATTTGAACTCAAGATAATTTTATTAACTAATAAAGCCCTAAAAGGAGCGATATTAATGGGGGCAAAGACGTGTTCTATAGAACTGTACGTGTGCTGCCATGCGCCTTTGCCACATATGAACAATACGCGATTTACAGAATGCACTTAATCTGAAAGGGTGACCTTACAATAAATATTGGTCAAATTATACTATTTCGGTTGATAATATTTTTGGGTGAATTTTAGGAAAAATTGCCTGCAAAAACCTTTATTTAAAATAGAAATATGTGACTTCGATGATAAAAAAATTATTGTTATTCATTGAGATTTTGAGTTCGAGTATCAAGACTGTCAGGGTGTAAACTTTCCTTATTGCTTTCAGTTTCAATCAAACAGAGAGCATTGCTTTGAGCCGATCCTTGTTACTTTAAATGGAGACAGATCTTAAATCATTCTTAAATGAATTTAATTTTTATAATCAACGTTGATGTTCTTGATAATTTCTTTATATGTGTTCAATAATGTTACTCTATTTCATGATTTTGTTTTTTTAGTGTTAAATTTGACTGAATTAATGTTATTGTATTTTATTTATTTAATAAAATTATAGATCTTAATTTTGCGTGCTTTGATGAGGTGGTTACCATGTTGATAATCGTTGCAGTTTTTGGTAACAAAGTAGTTAGTATGTCTGCAATGAGTTTGGTTACTTAGGATTCACTTCATTAGTAAACTATAAATAGAATTTAAGATCTTTCATTGATGTTAAATTTTCATTATTTGGAAAGCTTGATAATTTCACTGACTGACATATTGGTGGATGGAATTAGGGGTAGTTTGGTTCGGTTTGTTGTGACCAAAGGAGTGTTGAAAAGAGAAGGAAAAAAAAGGTGTTGTCTGGGTGCCCCAGATGAGAACTGATGTTATTAACAGTAGAAGGAGGAGGGTTCTTCTCTTCTTCAGCGTCTGGGTATAGCAAGGGCTTGGCCCTTCTTCTCTTGGGTCAGAAGCACGAGGACAAGTCCATGAGAGTTTCACCGTGGAACCATTACCAGTTGGTAGACCGAGAACCCGACCCTGACCTCCAACTGGCTTCCATCAAGAACCGGCTTCCCCGCGGGTGCACTTCTTTTGTTTGCTTTCGTTGCACTTCCGCAGGGCTTGAAACACCATCACCTTTGAAAGTTGGTCCTGTTCTACAGCAGGATGCCTTGCCAGACTCTTGTGTTGCAGATAAGGTTAACGATCATGCAAATGAGCTTGATGATGGCAATATCAATGTAAGAAAGGTTGTTTTGAAAAGTAGTTTGAAGAAGCAATTAAGTAGTGCTCAAGTTTCTCTTGAGGGTGTTAATGATCGTGAGGCATTGGGGGAAAAGGATGGCGATAACCCGAGTCACACAGAACTAAGAAAGGTGCACTGGACTGATGCTTATGGTAGTGAGCTTGCTGAAATCAGGGAATTTGAGCCCAGGTACACGGAATTTGTCTTCTAAATTAAAGTTTTATAAGCAACGCAGTACAATTTCCAAACATAATTTAAGTTTGTTTTTATGCTATTTGCAACGTGTTAATTTGCCCCATTAATTTAAGTAATACCATATCCCTTAATGTTTACAACTCTTTCTTGTTTTTCCTAAAGCTAGTTATATTAAGATGTTTTCGTAATATTGAACAGATGCAACTATAAATCTACAAACACTCCTAACACATAGGTTGTAAATATATTCCAAATAGTCAAAAATTTGTTCTTGCTTGGTAAACTACTAAAGTGTTTTCTGCAAGCCATACTGATGACATTGCCATGGCACCCTTCGCACAAAATTGGGATATAGTAGACAATTTTTTTGGGTTTGTTTTTATAGTCTATAAAGATGTGAATAGGTAGATGCGACCAAATCAATGCATAGATCTGATTTTATAGCATCTACTCTCAAGATCTCATTCATGTGATGATCTATCTGTTTGGAAAAATGTAAGCTGTGTAAATGTGTCAACACAACTAACATACATCTATTGATTTTGTAAGGTGTTTGAGTACTTTATTTGATGCTAATTTGAATGGTAGCTGTCTTCACAAAAAAAAAATATTACTGATGTATTAGGTTCAACCACTTAAGGCTTCTGGTTTAATTTTTATTTGAATTGGGTATTAGTAGGTGCACAAGTCCTTGTTTATGGTGATTCAGTTTTCTTATGCCTACAATTTTTCAAATCCCTATGTTTTCTACACAATGATAGCTAATGGGAGGACATGCATATACCGTTGGTGCCAATAAAAGTAGTTTAGCGAAGAATTATATAGATATAACTTGTTGATCTGATTGGTTGATTCATTATCCTTGATATAATATCAGAGTTGGACATTTATTGGATGGTGAAGATCTCATGTTTGTTCCTTATTTTATTTAAATGTTCTTATATTCTCTTTGCTTGTTCAGTTTTTCTTCACTGGTATTGGTTCTTTATTTATGAATTCGGCAATGGGGTTGAAAAAACTTGTGCATGTACAACTATGTAGTTGGGCCATTATTTTGAGCTCTAATGATGTCATCAGCTAAAAGTCACTTGCTAACAGAATTTAATCTTTATGATGGAATGCAACCAATTGAGAGGAGCTTTCTTTGTGGGCCAGTTTAGTTGGACTCATCTTTTGTGTCTATATGTAATATATATATATATATATATATTATCTGAGATTTCAATTTTTGTTATCTCCACTTTTTTCTTTCTAATATCATGATTATGATTATTATTCTTGTTGTACGACTCTCTTGTTGTCCATTATTTCTTGATAATTAATTTATTTATAAATACATAAAGTTCAATCATATGTCCTTAAAAAGGAACTTCATGCTTTTCTTCGTTAGCAAAGTTAGGCTGAATGATTGTCAATTGATTAACTTTAATAATTCTAGCTTAAATGTTTTACATGCATTAGGGAACAAGTTAAAATCCAATCAAACGCAAAATTTTCAGGTTTTTTGTCAGTTCGTCTATCCACTGACAGATTGAAAAATATTTTTGAGGGTTGGTATACATGTATATTAATTATCGAAAATTTTCATATATACAAGTAAAATTTCAGGATGAACATTTATAATAAAATGAATATCTAACATAAAAAAACTCGAATTCTATGTACTCAGTAATCTTCAATTTAATTAGTTTAGAATTTGAGGTTAGAAGTTGTTTATATATTTGTAGGAAAATAAATAAATAAAACATGCTCTACGTTATTAAAAGTTTAGTCTTAATTTGTCGATTTGAAAACTTAAGTTTCGTTATTAACATCAGAATAAAATTGTTACCTTTATGATATGAAATTATAAAACTAAAAAGATTCTCATTTGACAACCGTGCATTTAAAATGAACATTACACAGCATGCTAAATATGTATAAATAGAAAAAAAATATAAACAAAATTCAAATATTCTTTGAAATAAAAGTCTCGGCATTTTATTTGAGTGGTGCTTTAGACATGTCCTGACCCTGGACAAGAGCCGTATTGCTCAGGACCGGCTCTTGTCCAAGGGCTAAAATTATAAATTCACATACAATTAAAAAGGATAAATTATATATTTAGTTACACACTTATTATTTTATTTCTGTTTTAGTCATTTAATTATCAATTTTTTCAAAATCATACTAAATTTTTTTTACCCACCATTAAAAGATTAACGACAATGCTCATGTGCTATTTTAAATTATTATCACTTTCCACTTAATTATTTTATTATTATTTTTTGACAAAATAGAGAAGATTAATTTAACATGTATCATATTAAAAGTGGATCATGCTTGTTTTGTGTGAGTAGTTGAAAGTTTAATAAAAATTCTTGATGTTTTCTATTTAAAATTTGATGACTCTATTAGATAGTTTATCAAAAGTAATAAAAACAGTTTATAAACTATTTTATTTAATTTTGTTTGTTCCAATGATTTAACTTTCTTCGATATTTTTACTAGGGGTATAATTTTTATGTTCGTCCAATACTATTAAAATCTCAGAAACGGATCTAATTTTAGAGAAGATAGGAGAAAAAAAGTTATTTTGAAGCCATTATCCATAGGGAAGCCACCTGGTTGATTCTCAAATTGTTCTGTTAAAAAATCTAATCAATCTTCAAATACTTTAATTTTGGAATCTGAACCATATCCCTATTTTGGATTTCATATTCAGTGGTTCGTGGGAATGTTTGAAGCGTTTGTGACCAAAGATAGATGGAAGGAGGTTAGAATTAGGGATGAGAAAAACTCGACCCGACTTGAAAAACTGATTATTTCGAGTTGATTTTATTCGAAAAATTTGACTCGAAATGACTCGAGTTGTAATTAATGGATGAATTTTTAAGTTTGAGTCTAGTCCCTCAATTCTATATGATATATGTATATCACATATGAAAGAAATATATATGTATTGTATTTTTTTAATAAAAAATCACACATGAATGGATTGTTATATATATGTGTCTGTGTACTGTATATGATAAAAAATCATTTAAAATGAAATCAAATAAAATAATAATATCATAAATATTGATAACTAAATTTAAAAACCAACTCAAAAAATTCAATTTGACTTGACTCGATCGAACGTTCACCTCTAATTGGACCTTTGAAATTTTAAAATTATCCTATATTTTAAATATTTTTTGTAATTTTTATTGATTATAAATTTTATCCTTAATATTTATAAATTCATTTCTCCTATAATTTTATAAATGGATAAATTACACCGTTTCTCACTGAACTTTACCCTCGCTCCTATTTTGCTCACTGTACTTTCAACTTTTCTATTTTGCTCATTGAACTTTACAGATTGAATCATTTTGCTCACTCTGCCCTTAACTTTTTAACGACGTTATGACATGGCGCAAGCATCAAAACGACATCATTTTCAAAAACATATACACTACAACGACGTCGTTTTGAATCCTCTTCTTTCCCCCATTGACGTCGCCAACCACCACATCATTTGGCATGCCGACCACCCTCGATCGTCGTTGACAGTGATATTTTGGTCCCAAAATTCATGGGTCAATTCGTCTCGCCCCCTAAGTCCAAATCTTGTCGATTCATCACTGAAAATTATCCCAAAATTCATGAATCTCGACTTAAACGTTTCAGCTTCCTCACTTTTAATCTCCGATTCATGGACTTCGAAGCAAGTTCCGGCAAAACGAAGTTAGAATTCAGACTCGAGGTATCGAGTTGAAGCGACTCATAAAATTTGGAACCGAACGGTCACCATTTACGACTGTCGACAGTGGCATCTGACCACCTTCTATTTTTTATTTTATAGTTGGGTGAGCAAAATAGGAGAGACAGTGAGGAACAATCTAGTTTACCTTTTATATTTTCAATTATTTTATATTAAATAATAATAAAAAATGACATATCATCGTACAGTTAGAAAGTTAACGGCATAGTGAGCAAAATGATTCAATCTGTAAAGTTTAGTAAGCAAAATAGAAAAATTAAAACTACGGTAAGAAAAATAAGAGAGTAAATTTAAGTGAGAAACGGTGTAATTTACCCTTTATAAATTGATTCTTAACATAAAATTTTATGTTTCACTTTATCTATGATGCTCCTAAGATTTCGGTGGGCGCTAATAGCCAACCAACGATCTATAGACGAGCTGTACTATGGGCCATGACTTATCCACATACATCCCCATCCCAATACAATCTCATAACTTAACAGCATCAAGACGGGGAGTTGAGGAACAAAAGCAATGTCCATGGCAGCCTCTATCCCCTACATCAAAATCCTAAACACATCCTGTACTTGTTCCAAATTATATACGACACCCAAGCCTTATTTTGCGACTATAAGGAGTTTCCAAACTCATGGTCCCCCCGATTATATGGTCTATAAGCAGGGTCGTCCCTGAGCATGGGCAAAAGGGGCACTTGCCTAGGGCCCTTGTAACACCCATCTCTAGTATACCTTTCCGTACACGAGATATAGATGTCACATCACTTTTAAAACAATTTTTTCATTTGGAAACCCTTAAAATTTTATATTGAAATTTAAAACAAAAAATATTTTTATACAACAAGAAAACAGTCGATGAAACCTATTACCAAAGTTATCACTTTAAATTCATTCTAGAGCATTTTTTCTTAAATTAGATTACATAACAATAATTTTTCAAAATAACATGATTGTCCTACTGTTACTGATGAGAGTCAACCTTAGATTGATGATAGTTGCTCCTACTCCCGACTAGTCTTTGTTGTTACCTACGCGTGAAATCACTACACGTTAAGTATATACTTATTGAGACATAATATTGTAAAAAATCTACAATTTATACAAAAGTATCACATAACTATTTAATGACGAATTAATTCACATACTCCATAAGGATCAGATAAATCCTTCTTAGTTAAACCATATTTTTCTTTCATACAATCATCGAAATCATTCTTAGTAGTCCCAGCATACCTATCCTGTATATTTTTCCCAATTATTCTTTATGAGAAAGTACTGTACATGTATTGCATCAAAGTGCCAAATGGTCATTTATCTTTTATAATTATCACC